TTCCTCATATCACATTATAACGTCACTTAAGTTTTTATAACTATTCAAACCCGGCACCGACGACAACGAAAAGTTTTGCAAAATACAAGATAAACAAGCGATCTTACCATACATTTTTAATATGAAAGGACCTGGGACCGCGTTTTTCTGCTCAGTAAGCAAGCCACTGCAACCGACGATCTTTGAAATCCTAAAACTAAAAGCTAAGAAAGAGTACTTAGGCCTTCATTAAGATCCAGTTTCACGCGACGTTCAATGTTTCGATTTTCTCTTTACGCATGGTTCAGGCAATCATAACAAACTATGACCGACGTGACGATTGTTTAAGAGCTGGTTAAACAAGCTATTCAAATGAAACTACGTTCCCGAATTTCACTTGCCATTAATGAACAACAGAAATACGCGATAATTCATATTTTCAGCGGTTGATGGTTAATTTTAAATATACCAACGGTACTGCCTACGACCAACAATCAATATGAAACTAACGATTTTAAATTGGCTCACTACTTGACTAGCCTATTGGTCCCAAGCAAATCGACTAGCGTACCCCTTTCTAGTATTAATTTCAGTACTACACTATGTTTGTTTTGATTCGCTATGAAAGTTTAACAGATAAAATGAGGGGTTAGTGGATTTTCCTATGTTTCGAAGGGTGAATCGATTAGCTTGCGATCGAAGATAGTACCAGAGCTGAGCCAAAAAGTTGAGCTCGTTTCTTCGGGACCTTCTGGTCTTAGAGTTCCCAAGTAACATTGCAGGTTTTATCGCAGTTTTATAGCATTCTACAAGTCTAAATCATGGTCTACAGAACCCTCATAAAACCAAAATTGTTACTTGGGTTACCTCTATGTTACTACTACGACGGCGATTACGACAGCGACTACGACGGCGCCTACGACAACGATAACAGCGAATATGTAACTTACCATTTGTCTAGGATAAACACCTGTGCCAGGCACCTCCACTGGTTCTTCATGTCCACTATGTGTCACTGTTTACAATATATATAATAGCAATTACCTTTGTTGTAATACTTCCTGTATTGCCATGGTCATCTGGGAGGAGGGTCGCATCTAGTGCTTTCCCCAGGAACCTTTCACGGCCACCAGCTACCAGTCTTGGGTGTATCCAGCGAGACATCCTTCAGCTTACTCACAATCTCCGACACTCAATGCAAATCGCAGGCACACTTACGCTAGTTACAAAATAAAAAAACACACCCATACTAAAAAACGGATCCAATAAACGTCACTCTCGCGAAAGCACACCCGTCGTCGTCGAACGGCAAAAAAGAAGGAATCGGTGGGCAATTTTGTGATACGGATTCCCACAATCAACCGGGAATGCACGAATTTCACCACACCCAACTGCTAAACACGTTCAGAAGCACTTTTGGTACACTTTCGTTCGAAAACACTTAATTTTTATTCAAAAATAGTTGCGAGTGAAGCAACATCATCACCGCTTAAATAAATTAAAATTATCACTCGCGATGCCACAAATTTCTGGACCAGGTAAAAAAATCAAACAACGCAGATAGCGTCAAATCTTCTGTTGCTTGCAAACATGATGAATCATGTTTTCTTTCTCGATTCTAATAGCGAATTTGTTTATTATTCAGTTCCAACCTGGATCGGGTATCAAAATCGGCTCTGCTTGTTTTATGACAAACGTCACTTTGATCGTTGGTTTTCACCTCAGGTTGAGGTTCGCACTGACAAAAAGTTCGGTTTCGCGGTTCCAACCCCGCTAATAAACAAATTCGCTATAAAACTTCTCGGAAAGCGAGAAAACCACCACTCACACACGTATGTATAATCGTCCGGGAGGCAAAGTGCCAGCGCTAATCCGGCAAATGCAGCCGAAAACTGTGAAAGCGAATGCACGCACAAAACAGAGAACAAACTTAAAACACAACCGTATCCAAAGACTTTCGAAACTCAACCCCCCCCCCCTCCACCCTCCAAAGGCGCGCCCCTTTGTTAGTTAGCACAATAATTTAAAATACTTGGAAGGTCATTGATGAACATGGAAAATAACAGTGGACCTAGAACAGATCCTTGTGGCACACCACTTGTTACATTCAAAAGTTCCGATTTTGTATTATTAAATTCAACATATTGCGTTCGTCCCGTAAGATATGAGGAAAGTAAGTTTACAGAAGTTGTATCGAGATAGGAAAAACTACGAAGCTTCCGACATAACAATTTATGATTGATAGAATCGAAAGCTTTACTAAAATCCAAAAGAACTAGAACTGTTAGATTACGTTTGTCAAGCGCAGTTTTTATATCATTTTCTATTTTAATCAAAGCTGTTGTAGTACTGCAATGTTTACGATAACCAGATTGTAAAGGACATAGTAACGTATTATGAATCAGATAATCGTTTAATTGTTTAGTCAGAAGACTTTCAGAAATTTTGGAAATAGCAGGTAGGATGCTAATCGGTCTGTAGTCCTTGTTGTTCATTGGATTATCAATTTTGCCAATAGGTACAACACGTGCTATCTTCCAAAGCTGTGGAAATGTTGAAGTTGTTATAATGTGATTGTATAAGTTCGTTATGGTAGGAAGAATGACAACAAGAGTTTTTTTCAAAACGCTGAGTGGTAACTGGTCAAAGCCGATAGAATCACTGGACGCGGAATTGAATTCGGTCAGGACTTCTTCATTCGTTACATTCCTAAATGAAAAAGAAGACGACGAGGACCTACCAGCCACAGATTGTTCATCAAAAGTAATAGGAGCTTGATTTGACATGAAGAACTGATTCAATGATTCGGCAGTTATGTTACACACATCACCACCACCTGCTCTACTTTGAGTTTTTGAAAGTCCCAAACGTTTTATATTCTCCCAATGTTTATTGGAAGAAAGAGAAGGGTTAAGGAGCCGAGAGAAGTAAGTGTACTTAGATTGTTTCACTACACGGTTTGACCTATTTCGCAACCTTGCAAAAGCATTCCATTTTGCTGCGCTGGGTTTATCTGTTTTCCATTTATCATAAGCTTCAGATCGTTTTTGGAAGAGATTTTTGATGTATGGATTAATCCATGGAGCACTAGGATCAACAGTAGTTTTCATTTTCAACGGGGCATGATCATCAATGACAGAATAAAGCATATCGTTTAAAATTTGTAATTTTCCATCAACTGAGTTGCAGTAATAAATAGCATCAAGATTGTACCTTTGCAAGCCAGCTATTAAACTATCGGTGTTTATCTTGTGATATTCTCTTGTCCAATACACAGCTGGAGGTTGATGAGGTACCTTAACTCTGTAATCGAAGCAGATCAAATCATGATCGCTAACACCTCCTATAGAAGATTGAAAGATGTTGCTAACGTTAAACGTACAATTTCCAAGTGCATAATCAATAAAAGATGAACTGCAGCCTGATGTATCAATTGGTAATTATCTAAGTACTTTATTATTCGGAGTTCAACAGAATACTTTCAACTGTGCAATACATAATTTTGAAATGTTTTCTATAAATAGACAACCGAATTCAGAATCAATTAACTTACAAGAACTTCGTGAGAATACTCAAAGACAGAACATGAAGATCCAAGTTTATAATAAAAATAGTACATAAAAAAAAAAGTTGAAATGGGATGACTATAAAGGTGATTTCGTAGTTATGAAAACAGATGAAACGGTTAAATAATCACCTAAGTTTAAAGGACCAGTTCTGTTCAAAGGACCTTATAAAATTGAAAAATCTTTGCTAAAAAATTGGTATGTTGTAACTTATATTGATGGATTTTAAAATTTAGGAGAACAGTAGACACGGTTTGTGAAGAGTAGACATTAACATTGTTAGGACATTCTGTAATACAGTTTCAACCCCACAAGACATATTTTATTGAATATCTATAGTAAGGTATTATTGTTCAGACTTGGTTGGAGAACAGGACAGCTTTTATCGCTCGGTTCACTTATATGTGGGATTTTTTCATGAATCCTATGTTTATTCGCTTGATAAATAAAACCAGCATGACGAAGAAATTAGCTAATCCGTGTAGAAACACGCGGTTTTCGTGTACCGATGCGGTTCACCACAGTTTTTTTTAGGCATGGTTCGTGTAAATAGTTCTAATTCCTACACCAAATTAGTTCTTGAACATTCATAAGCTGAAGAAACGACGTATTCATGAATAAAATATTATTTTCAATGAATCGTGACGAAATGTATCGCTCAAAGTCCTCGAATCACTACCCAAGCCTGTTATTTTTTGCGCGAAATATGCAAAGCGAAACGCGACCCAAATAACTCACATGGTATCCTGATGAATGTGGGCGTCTTAGTGGAATACCTGTATAATGAGAGAGAGAAGGATTAGTATTTTCCATTTAATTCCACTACTTTATTTGCTTATCCTTGACAGATACGCGTATTTCGTCTACAATGTGCAGACTTCTTCAGTGTCTTGTACTAATACTCGACTATTAGTACAAGACACTGAAGAAGTCTGCACATTGTAGACGAAATACGCGTATCTGTCAAGGATAAGCAAATAAAGTAGTGGAATTAAATGGAAAATACTAATCCTTCTCTCTCTCAACTCACATTGTGTTAAGTCCGACAATCTACATATGAAACGTATTGACAGAAATAATTTGCTTTTGCATAAACATTCTGGAAAACACTGGTTAAATTTCTAAGCTTGGTGAATTGTCATTCAATTATTACACCAAATTGGACTAACAAGCGCGTTGTCACTTATTAAAAAGTACAACTTTCTGTCCAATCGTCTTTCGGTATCTTCGGTGCACTTATTCTTTATGATGCAAACAATAAGTGCTGCGAAGGCACCAAAACGATTTGACGGAAACGTGCACTTTTATCACACTTTTTACATTTTCGGGGCAGTCCATTTTCAGATGCAATCAGCAATATAAAAATGAACCATTTAATAGCAAATAAAGATAATTGACCTCTATATTTTTAGACACTAACATACTTCCTCATCTCTCCCTTTCCCTTCCTAACAGTGGCAATCAAGGACAAAGTCAACCTTCTTTCTGCTGTACCGGTTATCGCTTGCCGTCTTCTTCACGGCCGTGGTCGTCAATTCCATCGTGGTCAGCACCAGCATCGAGGACTGGGCAAAATACTTCATCTACCTGACACACTGGGGCATCATGATGTGCATGGGAACAACAGTCATGGGAGCCATTCTAGTCGCCCGGTGGTACTTCCATCCGGAATTTTCAGGTGAGTCCGTTGGTTTGTATTGTTGTAGTTCGACAGATAACGTGGCAGAGGTTAACCATTTGTCACGTACAAACGATCGTTTGACGCGCGTTTAAATACCTACCGATAATGATAGGAATTAATTTTCATAAGCAAAATCAATTTGCAGGTTTAGTGCTAGCAAAGTTGATCTTGTAGATTTTGCTATTGTGAACACAGTTAAGAAAGTGTGGGAAGTGCCGGCCACTGCTCATCGGCCTTGTAAAAGCAAAACCATGCCACTAATTCAACAATGCAAACGAGTCGAGCAAGTGTTTCTCACAGTAATTACAAAACTGAACTCTGAGAATCTGCTGTTATTTTGCAGTGGTTGACTAACCGATGCTTTTATGAATTCGGCGAGCTTCCTAGCTCATTTCCATGAAGACCCTGGAACCATACAGCAGCAGAAATTGCATCTGATACAATTGAAAACAATACTTCACGGTGTTTAAAAGTTCTTTGTTAAATAACTGCTCTAAATTTTCTAAAGGGTAATTTTAATCATTTGCAAATTTTATTTAGGAAATCGTGTACAATAAACAGTTAGAATTAAATTGAAAATTTAAATATCAGCAGATTTGTTTTAAGACCGATACTGAACCCACCAAAACCGGAACAACTATATGTTTAGCATAAGGCTTACAAGTTACTAATATCCACATAAACAATCAACCAGCTTCGAATTCTAACCTTGCGCATTTATTCATTTTCATGAATCAAAATTGTCGTAATATTTTACTGCCTTAATGCTAATTGACACTGGTGTCGGTTGTCGGAACTTTTCATCACCATCACCCGCCTTATGCTTTTTAAAGAACTGACCGACAAAAAAGTGATGGCAAGACGGGTGGTCCCCGGTGGTCACCGCAGACATTGTTGAGTGAATTCTACGCTTCCAAAAGCACCACTTTGGCTAAACCAAAAAGCGTTTCATTGTTCACTTTGCGAAACGATACGAAAATCTAATTGCACGTGGGTTTCATAACGGACTATGTGGATGGAAGCCACACCGTACCGATCATAAGCCGATGGAGGAAATATGATCTAGAGTAAAAAATTACTTCGGTCTAATCGCCCATTTTGGGCCTATCGAGTTAATTATATATTTGATATTGTAGGGGCTCCTGGGGTAAAATGCACCAGTTAAGAAAATGAAGCTGTTTTCTCGTTTAAATTAACCTTAATAGTGAATATCATGTATTGCCGAAATTCTCTTAAGCATTATTTAGTTGTTTATATTCACAACTGTATATGAAAACTTTGAAAAATTACCTTTAAAATTGATTTGAGAAATAAATAAAATAATCTAGAAATGCCACTAATCGGGGCAAAATTCACCCTTGCTGGGGTGAAATGTACTACAACAAAAAGGCAAGACACAGCATAGTGATGAGGCAAAATGCACCCTTTTGGGAGGCAAAATGCTCAACAATAATGGGGAAATATGACTCCCCAAGTAACAATTTAACAGCCTTTTGCCTTTCACTCTGATTTATTGTGGCTTTATAACGGCAATAAACAATCTGTTTTAGTTTAATTACACATGAAACTGTCAAAGTTCGTAAAGAAATATCTGGTTTGGCTGTACCTGTGGCTTGAAAAGCAGCATTTTCATAGCTTCCGGGACTGTCAACCAAGAAATTTACGTGCAAGAGTGTTTGAATAAACGTCTGCTGCCTTTCCTGAAGAAACACGGTTGTTCCGTACTGTTTTGGCCGGATTTGGCATCTTGCCATTACGGTAAAAAGGCCATGGAGTGGTACGCCGCCAACAACGTGCAGGTGGTTCCCAAGGATAAGAACCCTCCCAACACGCCAGAGCTCCGCCCAATTGAGAAATACTGGGCTATTGTCAAGCGGAACCTAAAGAAGACCAAAAAAACTGCTAAGGGCGAGCAGCAGTTCATGGCAAACTGGCTTTCTGCGGCGAAGAAGGTGGACAAGGTGGCTGTACAAAATCTGATGGCAGGGGTCAAGCGTAAGGCCCGGCAATTCAGATTTGGAAAAGCGGAAGCCTAACTGAATATTTTTCCTGAATTTAATACTATTTGAACTTGAAAAAGAAATTTAATTTGATTTTTTAAATAAACGATTTCACCGATTTACACGCGTTTTCCCTTGACCAAATTTTGACCGTATCACCCTTTAAATACAGAGATCGCCAGGATCATTTCGAGAACGTCATGAAGTCTATGGAACTTAAGGGAAGATTCGAGAAATTCAGGAACTTATATAGATATTTCGGGAGCATTTTAAATAAGTTTAGTAAAGCTCCAAAAACAAGGCTAATTTGAGGGGAGTTCAGTTCCATTAGTTTCACTAAATTAGCGGGAAATTTAAAAAAAGTTCCCAGATTGTCAGAGATCTTTAGAGATATTAAGAAAATTACTGAGGTTTTCACATAAATCCAGAAGCTCACGGACGCTTCAACATTTTTAGAACAGTTCAATTAAATTCAGGGTAACAAGTTTCATGAGAACTGCAAACACTTTAGAGAGAGATATTCCAGAGCAGTAAAATTACATACATTAAAAAAAAGGAGAAATTCAATGTTAAAACTTTAGAGAAGATTCATGATACTTAGGAAAATTGTGGAAACTTAAGAACTTCTCTGAAAAAGTTTAGAGACTCAGCAACTGGGAGGCCATTCATCCTTGGCCAAAAAGTCGGTCAAATTTGCTCGACACCAGTTTTGGACCAAGTTTGCTGTATAAGAAGGCGTGCCGTCCTGCTGAAACACGTAATCATCCTTCCCCTACATTCTTTCTAAGTTTGGTTTCACGACATTCTGCAAAACTTCCATTTTATAATATAAAGCGTTGATCTTAACCCCTTTCTCGATAAAAACAAGCGGTAGCTTGCCGCGCTTGCCGTTTTGGACATTGTGAGACTGCTGCAGGACAAATAACTTTTCATCGGAAAAGAAAAAGTCTCGTCCAGCGTGCCGCGATAGTAGGAGAGTTGCTCTTTCAAGCCGTTTCATCTTGGAAGGTTCCGAAACTCCGTGAACTTTACGTTTCTTGAAAGCTTGGCATCCCATGTCCTGCTTGAGTACATTGTGCATGGTCGATTTCGAGACATTGAGATCAGCGGCCATTTTACGTACAGAGCGTTGTGATTTTCGTAGAACTTGTTCCCTGACGGTCTTAATCACTCGTTCAGTCCTAGCTGAACGTCTTCGGCCGGATCTTTTCCGGTCATCTAACAAGGAAGTCTCACGGTACCTTCTAATGGTTCGATACCGAAAATTCCGCTTTACTCCCAGATTCTGCAAACTCTTGAAAATAGCGCCAGGGCGCTCTCCTTCAAAAAACTTTTTTATTACCACAGCACGAAATTCCTTCATCGTTGATAAAAGATGGATACTGAATGAAAATAAGCAAACAGAACCGTCAATGGTTTGTGTAAACACAGTGCAAGATTACACCAATCCATATAAAGTGTATGAACTGTAGCTTCACCACTGCGACAAGATGAAAAGGTGTATGAGAATATATTGGGCACGGTGTATTGGGAACTTTCAAGCTGTTCTAAAGACCTCAGAATAGTTCATTACATACTCAACGGAGATTTCTCATGAAAATTCGCGTGAAGTTCTCCTAATATTACGCTAGAATTCATCCGTAACTCTCATGGAACTATTTCAGAAATTCACTTGGAACGCTTCTCTGAATTCTCTGGAAAAAAAATATGACAAGAATATAGTTAGAATACTTCTCGCAATACCTTTGAAATATTCCATAAAATGTCTTTGAAACTATTCTCCGAATTCAATTTTCTTTTAATTTTCCTAGGAATTACCTTGAAATTCTCTTCAGTAAGAAATCTTATGGAAAGATTCTCAAATTTTTCATTGAATTCATTTCAGATTTCCATTTTAATCTCACTCCTTTCCTTGGAATTCTACTCACATTGAAAGTCTCTTAAAAATTCATTTTCATTTGTTTTCACAAATTCCTTAGATTTATCCGCTTAATTTGTTCGCCAATCTCTCCTGGAATTATTTTCCAAATTTCTTTAAAGATCTTCTGGAGTTATTCTCAGATTAAATTGTAATCCTTCTTTTAGCATCCCATTCACCACGTAAGTATTCACCAAAACATACGAGGACTTATGCTCCGATTTCGTTGTCTTTCGCAAATTTCATGTAATTATCCTCAGAATGCTCTTGGAATTTTCCTCTGAAGTTCAGAGGAGGAGAAATTCCTATGAATTTTCATTAAAATTTATCTCGAATTAAATTCCGGGTTTTCTTGAAATTCTGTTCAAAACTATCTCAGGGTTCACATGCAATCTAAAATTCTTTAGAACTACCATGAAAGTAGATTGAACTTGATATTTTTTTCATGAAGGAGCTATAAAGTTCAATGTGTGAATGAAAATTACTAAGAATATCAAATGTTTTTGTTTTAAAATGCATTGTTTTCTTTGAAATATTTTTAGTGGATAATTTTAAAATTTCCTTAGTAATGATTAGATTTCCTGAGACTTCCAGGTATTCTCAGGAGAAATAAAATTCCCTGAGAACTTACGGTTTTTCAGGTTAAGTCATAAACTTTCTATTGAATCTTTCGTTTTAAAGGTTCCTATCGTACATACATATTTAAGTGTTTATGAGATTCTAATTGAATAAGTCTAAAACATAAAACATGTATTTTGTATGCCATCAGAACGACCCATTTTCTTTCCTTAGGTCGGTTTTTAGTAACTTTTTTTACATTTTTAAGTCACTATTTGGTCACTTATTTTTTCAACGTGGTCACTAAAATCACTATTTTTGACAGCATTGATCGCTACCAGCCCTGCAGTTCGGATCACTGCACATTTAAATCGGCCGTTTACGATTTTCGGGCATAAGTCAGAATTAAGTGTCATGTCGGTTTGTCGGTTATAAAACTTTTTTGCAGCAAGTCATTCTTAAAATGTCTCCATAATGCACTATTTAGAACCTTCTTCAGGGTTGGCCAACTAGACAGATTC